AACATCGTAGTTTGCTTTAGGCATGATTAATAATAAACCATTGTGACTATGGGTACGGTTCCCGTGACATAGTCATGATACATAATCCCCAATTTGAGTGCACGTTTCACGCGACTCGACCATAACTTCAAATAATAATAAAACAAACGTCTTGTAGATCGCGGGTGCGTTTCACGTGGCGCGATTCGCAATATGTACCAAAACAAATGAGTGCGCAACATCGCAACTTGTTCAAATAAATTCCATAAATACTAAAAACGGTTTAATATTTAATTAAAAGCGGTTAGAAAGTAAAAATGTACATAAGTCTTAGAACGTATATAAATCAGATAATTAGGCCAATTGTTAATAGTTGAGCGACCGTGCTAAAACCACAGAACTTGGGAGTGCCTCACACCTTCTCCCGGGTTAACATTATTCCTTACCCGGTCTTCTGTGTTCGCGAACCATAAACAGAGTCAAATCCGTAGCTACGTTTTCCAACTATGTGCATTATGTAAAAAAAAGATCTGCTAGCATCCTAAAAAATTTCACAAAATCAGGAAATAAGTATCAAGCACTATTAAAGAGAACTAGCATCTCCATATCTGATTCAAATTCAACAAACACATAACCACGTGAAGCGCCCGTTACTGCAAAAGCAACACCATATGGTACATATCAATTCTTCAAAAAGTAAATATCCTATCTTTTTACACTAAGTGGTACATATCAGCACAATTTCTATGATTTTCAAATATGCATTAAACCTCCACAAAAGGATACGCGAAATGCAACATAAGCAAGTTGTAATTTTGAAAGAAATAGCTAGTACCAATATGTGTGACAATTGTTATGTTCTTCACCCTTCTATATTTGTTCAGTTCTTGTTAATAAACGCAACCCAAAATCAATAAATAACAAATAATTGAATCAATAACACCAACTAGGCAATAAGCAAACAACAAGAGCAACATAACTGCACAAGATTAAAAAAGAAAGACACGAAATAGGAAAATGGTCAAATTTACCATGTATTATTCTAAATCGAGCAACTTTGCCCTCCGCTAATCTTTAGGTCTAATATCACCCCGCCGTTAGGAAAAGTCTTGTTTTTCCCATTGACCCCAGATGTAGCTCCAACCTGAGGGTATTTTAAACCACAACCAAAAGTTAAAGGGTAAATTTGTAGTTATTTGTAGCCAAAAGGGTCAGTTTTTTACTTTCTTTTGAGCGAGTATTATTAGAATAGATTGAGTACATCTTAAAGAGCTTGAATCTCGGTGTTGGGATGATTTGGTAGAGTTTTGAGGTGGTTTGAATTGAAAACTCGAAGTAGAAGATGAACATGAATTATCACATTGTGTATCATTTGTGTATCACTTATGTATTATATTTATATCAAATGTGTATCACATGTATACCTGTGTGTGAGATACATGTGTGATACATATTTGATACATGTGTCGTAGAAGATATTTTTGAACTCGATTTTAGATACGAATTTTGATACTAAATCACCTCTAATCTCTATTAATTTTTATATATTGACTCATCTATATGTTTTTAATGAATTTCAACCATATCCATTGAAAAAAGTCATTTTTTGCTTAGATTTTTGAAATCTTGTACGTATATTTTTTTGTATTTTAATTACCTTATTTGCTACCTCATCCATGAAAGTTTCTTCCCGTCTTGCATCTAATATTGTTGATCACGCTTAAAAATATGGAAGTAGATCTTTGCGTGTGATTCTTGGGGAGAAAGAACATTATTTATTTAGGTTTTTAATTTTTATATGTATTTGACTAATTTTGGTAAGTCTATGATTGATGGCTACAAGTTGGTTAGTTGAAATTTTTTTGGAATATTTCTAAAAAGGGCCATTAAAGCCCGTGAGGGGTTGGAAGCCCGGCCGATAGCAAGCCATCTAATAAAACATAATGTCACCAACTATTTGGAATTCCAAATAGGCCCCAAAACACACTTGTGTGTCAATTTTAATCCCTTAAAGTTTGATTCCCAAGGCCATAGCAATTTGATGAAGAAATGGGTCGAGAAGATTACAGCAGCGAAAGAAGGTCTTCAACTGGGGGAAATCTAAACTCAGTATTCTATGCTTCTATATACCATCCAATTCAAGCTGGAAGCATTGATGGAACTGATATTCTTCCTCATGATAACGCCATTTACAGAGCTCTTCTCTGCTCTAATGCCGGCTTGTGTTAGTATTATACTCATTCTAGCTCGTAAAAATCCTGCTTTGTTTTACCCCTGATAGTTTCCATTATTACTTCATTTGCCATTGTTGTTTTCAGATGACCCGTTTGGTGACCCGAAGGCTATTGGTGACCCGTATTGTACACTCTTTGTTGGTCATTTGTCTCATTTTACCACTGAACATAACCTTTGCCAGGTTTGCTTTTCTGGGTTTTTTTCATTATAAGTTTGGGTATAAAAGTTATACTATATATTTTTGGATTTAAGTTATATATAGGAACACTGTAATGTACTTTTTACACCATCACTGTAATTGTAACGTGTTATAGCGGGTTATTTACCACTGAATATTCCCTTCGCCAGGTTGGCTTTTCTGTTTTCCCCCCTCAATATAAGTTTTGGGTGTAAAGGTTATATTTTTTAGATTTAAGTTATATACACCAACACTACACTGTAGTGAACTTCTTACACCGCCATCAGTGTAATTTAACATGTTATAGTGGATTATTTACCATTTATTCTAGGTTACTCTTGTGCCGTTCTTTTGTTCTTGCTGTTTGCTTATTGCCTAATTGGTGTTAAGGTTTATATCTTTCTGATAAGCTTATAATAATTTATCTTATACTATGGGAATTTGCTCTAGTTTTGTTTATTTAAAATTTTGGTTCATTCGTACCCTTTGATGTTAGCAAATTGTGATCTTGCGATTAATGAAGCTCTAGCTTGAAATAGGTGAACCTCAAGTGTCAAATTCTTTGAGAAAAATTGATCTAAATATACTCTTTAACTTTTGGTTGTGGTTTAAAAATACCCTCGAGTTGGAGCTACATCTGGGGTTAATGGGAAAAACAAGACTTTTCCTAACGGCGGGGTGATATTAGACCTAAAGACTAACGGAGGGCAAAGTTGCTCGATTTAGAATAATACATGGTAAATTTGACCAGTTTCCTATTTTTTGTGTCTTTCTTTGTTACTCTTGTGCAGTTCTGTTGTTCTTGTTGTTTGCTTTTTGCCTAGTTGGTGTTATTGATTCAATTGTTTGTTATTTACTGATTTTGGGTTGCATTTATTAACAGGAAATGAACAAATATGGAAGGGTGAAGAATGTAAGAATTGTCAGACACATTGGTACTAGCTATTTCATTCAAAATTACAACTTGCTTATGTTGTATTTCGGGTGTCCTTTTGTGGAGGTTTAATGCATATTTGAAAATCATAGAAATTGTGCTGATATGCACCACTTACTGTTAAAAGAAAAGATATTTGCTTTTTGAAGAATTGAGTTAAAATTTCTCTCATATGGTGCTGCTTTTGCAGTAACGGGTGCTTCACGTGGCTATGCATTTGTTGAATTTGAATCGGATAGGGAGATGCGGCGAGCATATAAGGTAATTTGTTCTCTTTAATAGTGCTTGATACTTATTTTTTTAAAAACGTTCTTGAGCCGAGAGTCTTTCGGAAATAATCTTTCTACCTTCATAGTAGGGGTAAGGTCTGCGTACACACTACTCTCCCCAGACTACTTGGTGGTTGTTGTTGTTGTTGGATCAAATAATTATGGGAAAACCCTTCTTTAATGACCTGTACTAGATTTTTAAACAAGCAGATCTCTACGACCTTTTTAGTTGCAGAAAAACAAGAAAGGGTGTGACCTGCCAAACTTAGGTGCCGATGAATTGTGATTTTGCAAGATCATGCTGGTTAATGACTGTTGAATCTTCAATAGTTTAAGAGCCCGTTGTATCCATGATCATGAGAAGGAGTTTGCTAGGCTCAGAACTGATTATTCAAGGCTGCAATTTTCTAGCTGAACTATATTTTGTGAATGCAAGGAATTAACGCTTGTTTAAATACCTACTGTTTACATAAGGAATAGGAGTCATTGCCCGTAAAACAAAGAAGCAATTAAATTTGTCTAGGTTCTGTTTCTGATTCTACCAAGTGAAGCAAACTCAGGGCATAATTTATTTATTTTGTCGTTCACATACCGCAGGATGCTCACCATAAGTTTATTGATGATTCTGAAATTATAGTTGACTACAATAGGCAGCGATTAATGCCAGGCTGGATTCCGAGAAGGCTAGGTTAGTGAAATTTGTCTGATATCCTTCTTCTCGAAGCTTTAATTTGCTATATGAACCTACTATATTAAAGTCATTCTATTTTACAGGAGGCGGTCTTGGCGGTAAGAAGGAATCAGGACAACTTCGTTTTGGAGGTCGTGAAAGACCGTTTCGTGCTCCACTGTAAGTATTCCTGCTTCATTTTCAGTAATTAAAGAGAATTGGAGGATTGTCTCACATTTTTGCACGCTTTGGAGTTGTCCTTGCATTTTTCTCATTTATTTTCTTTTTGAGTTGTGAAGATAAGCATGTTTACGGTGTTAATTTAGTTCGGTGAGCATTTTACAGTTACTAGGTCAAAGTTTTGATTTCCATCAGAATCCTTTCCCACTTGTCTTGCTCAGTCCTTCAAATATTTGGGAAGAGAAAACCTTTAATCTTGTTTAAACACAGATTAACATGCCTTTTGGGTTGTAGGAGAACTTCATTCCTAATCATGAAATAGGAGGATTGTGTTAATTAAAACTTATATGACTTTGAGGAAATTTAGTTCATATCATCATTCAGACTTGGACTCTACTCTTTACTAGTTCGGCCTTACAAGTTAAGCTTATAACATTTATTACTCTGTACTAGTTTGATCCAAGTGACTGATGGAATGCCAGTAACTCATTTATAACTTTGGTTGGCTTTGCTGAGAATAACTGCACGCCTTCCTTCAGTTGGGTTCAAAAGGAAATATCCCAGGATTCTTATCCCTCGGTATGAAATGATGAAAAGCATGAATAGGATTATGTCTTTATCCTGCGTCAGTCTTCTTTTTATTTGCCATGGCATTTCTGGTTCCAAAGTGCTCTTGGAATACATTTCATCCTTTCAAGTGAAAAATTGACTAGATCGATTTTCCTTACCCAGATAGCATCCCAGTCATCCAAATTTTGTTCATTAAAATGAAGAAAATAAAAGGCAGTGATACAGATAAAATAAGTTTAGTCAAAAAGCAAGTTACAGCAACATAGCAACATTCAATAAATTTTATGTTACAACAATCACAACAGTTCTCCACATATTTTCACTCAAAATGAAAAATAAAGGAAGACTTGAAGAAAAAAACAAGAAAATGGGAAGAAAGAAAAGAAAGACCCTCTTTTAGTATCTGTCCAAATGTCACTCAAGATTTCAACAAAAATAGCACAAAAGACTTGGAGGGGAAGAAGGAATTGAATCAGATTTGTGAATATGCTGACAGGGGGTGGGGCAGCATTAAACAAGCGGAAAAGGGAGAGAAGAACACACACACGAGACCTAGAAACTCTCACAGTTTGCAGAGATAACCTGTGTGGAAGAAGAGGAAGTAAAGGGGAAGCAGGTGAAGAAATAGGGATGAGAGTAATGAGTATGCTTGTGCCCTTACCTCTATATATTTGAGGGCGAGGACTTTTTGGAGCTTATCCGATGACATTGTAATCCCAAATAAATAGTAGCCCCTCCTCAGATAGCGTAATCCTGTAGTAATCTGGCAAAATTAATTCAGTCTGATCTTTGAATGTTACCAAATGTAGGATAAATTAAATCTGCCTAACCCAATTCTCTATCTTGCTACTGAATGGCTTCTTCTTAACAAATGATTATTGCTGGATACTGGACTAGATTAGGCAGGATAAATTTATCTCCAGCTGGAAGTTTTTTGTGTGTCGAACTGGATTAATATTTTCTTCTGATATATCGTAGATTTGGTCGAAGAGGGCGAGAAGGGGATCGCCGGGTTGGCCTGCAAAAATGAAACTTTTGCTCCTCACGCACAAATAGGAGGACAGACCTTCATCTTATACTGTCTTCCTTGTTTTTCCAGTCGCTAATAACCTCCAACTCCTCCTCGCCTGGAACGCTGTATCCTGCCGAAAGATTGCAATGGCTCTAACAGAATCTTTGTTAGACTCATAAGTTTTGCCTTTTGTGCCATTTGAAATTTAACAGAGCAGAAGTTACTCCATTAGTTTAGTCATTTCAATGCAGTTTTCGGCTCAACTAAAAGTATCACATTGTTGGGGATGCTTTCTCTACCAGTTGAAGCCCCTTTAGTTCCAAGTAGAGATGGCAAAATGGTTTTGAAAAAACAGTTATCCACCCAACCCAACCCACTAAAAATGGGTTGGATAACTGACTTTTTAAAACCGGGTTGAATATGGATAATTATCCATATTCTCCACTATAAAAATGGGTAACCAATGAGACATTTTCCTACCCTTAAAGTTTACAACTTTTTGCTTCTTCATTTTTGTTGGCAGCAAATTCATGTTAGAGCTTGAGGCTAATGTGACTCTATGGATGGATAATATGGTTACCCATTTTATCCGCAGGTTAACCCGTATTTTATCCGTATTAAATATGGGTCGGGTGAAATATTTTATCCCTTTTTTGCCGTACCCGTTTTGACCCGCTCATATCCGACCCGACCCGCTTGCCACCCCTAGTTCCAAGTAATATGCATCTAGGAGTTCTGATGGCATAATTAAGAAAATTGAATAAACATGTTGCTGTGCATCCACCTAGTACTGAAGACATGAGCAACTTCAACTAGAACCAAGCTATGTTAGCTGCTTAATGATCGTTGAGTTGCACATCTTTTCCACCACCTTTACTGTGATCTGCTTATCGTTGTGGGGGAGAAAATAAGCTTCTCTGATAGTTAGTTGCTAGGAATGCTCCATTTTCCAGTTTTTGCTTGGAAATGTTTAAACTCATGCCACAAAAGGGAAGTTTTCCAGAAGTTTCTGAAGACACAGCATATCAAATAATGCTGATTCAGAGACCAAATCTGAGATGTTTTTAGAGTTATCTGCAAATATCCTCGCTAATATTCTGCTCTACCTAAAAGCCCCGATATCTCCATCCATCTGCTCTCCATCATCAAGATCATCTCCTGCAATAGAAGTCCTGCGTGATTGTGCTCTTTGGCCGCTGTAGTGAGAGTGAGAGATCCCGGCCGCAGATTAACCTATCTCCTTTAATACTTATTCGCTTGTCCCTTTAATTTGGTGGTGTGTTCACCAGATCTGAGGTAACCAAACCTAGCTATTAATCCCAATGTCTCTCTCAGTTTGTTTTCTGTCAATCTTCTCTTTTATCTGTGGTTGAATACTGGTATTCTATGGTGTGAAGGATGTAGTGTGCTTTAACCGAAGGAAACACATTTTATTGAGATAAACAATAAATATGTAAACGTTCTATATATCTGAACAGAGACTTAAAGCCTTAGGTTTCTGCAGTGTATTGTGTTGAAAACATTCTCCTATCACTCTCTTCCATGCTACATTCTTTATATGTATTTTACACTAACTTCGGAATGCTCCCGGGAACAGCCGACAAATTCCGTTGGATGATCTAAAGAGGCTTGGTATACCACCTCCTCCAGAAGGAAGATACATGTCACGGTTTCAGGTAACCCGTTTATTGCACATATTATTTTGGGAAGAAATTTGAGATCTGTATCGTTCATGTTCACTTTAAAGTAACTGAAACATTAGTTTTGGTCAATGTATCAGTTAGCTAAGTTCTGTCGCTAATAATATTGCATTAAGGGCTTATTACGGTTTCCTCTCCTATTGTTTTGCTCTTACTATCATCCATGGGCCATGGCTGTCAAGTTCACTGACTAAAATAGTTTGATACATATAAGTGATTTTTAACCCTCAGGGAAAATACTGGTTTAAGTCAAAATGAGAAGTGGAGTCTGGATAATGCTGGGATACAGCATGTAAAATGAAAATTATCCTTCTTTTAGCGATGCTGATGACTTGAACTAAACCGTGTAGGTTCCATCGCCACCTAGACAAGAAAGGAGCATGGAGGACGCTAGAGACTCTTCTCACAAGCACGATAAAGGAAGCAAGCATTCTAATCGATTGGAGAGATCTCCAAGTCGAGCGCACCCATCTGGAAGACGTGAGAGGTCTGTGGACAAGGAAGATTTAGCTCATAGGCAGATAACACGTGGAAGGAAACGACATGATTTAAGGTCCCCCAGTCATGATCATTCATCCGATAGGAGTTCAATGGACAGAAGCAGACATTCTCGCAAGCGCCAAAAGAGTAGCAGAGACAGGCATGACATGAGATCCCCCAGTCTTGATCATTCATCTGATGAAACTTCAACGTGCAGAGAAGAACGTCGTCGAGCACGTAATGCACGATCTCATGGATATGACAGGTGTTCACCAAGCAGGAATGATTCTTAACTAATCAAACATACAAGGCACATACTAGCTGTACTTATCAGGTCTTTTATTTGCTTATATAATAGCTTTGTTAGTTCATATCTCGTACCGCTTGTTAACTTTACATGATTTTTCCTGATAAATGCTATTGTTGATTCCCACAGACGGGGTATGGGGAGGGTTGGGTGTACACAATCACAAACCTTACCCTTACCCTGGGAGGGCAGAGAGATTGTTTTCATTAGACCCTCGGCTAGAGAGAAGATGAACAGAAGCAGTGGCAACAAGTTATAACAAAAGCAAGATATTAAGAAAACTGAAGCGAAAGAGAGTAATATCAATCTAAGAATAGAAAGATACTATACTAAAATTAAAACTACCGCTACGGGAAGGGATGACTTGTATTAACTATGATGAAGATTAACAGTCCTACAAAATGTTAAGAAAGGAGAAGGAAAAACTTAAAAGTGTAAAAGATTCATTTCATACATATGGAGCACAGTTGTTTGGGTTTTTCTTGACTTGTCAATATGATTTCTGTCTCATCTTATTGTCAATGATTATTGTCATTGTATCAATCTAGGAATGTAACAAACAAGTAGAGGTGTCTATCAAGCTATTCCGCCTTATTTTAAAGCTAAAGCCCCTCTTCAATTTTTTTTTGCTTCCCACCCAAAGACTCTATAGGACATTATGAGGCATGACTGCTTCCTAATTGTTTGTTAAATTTATTTTATAAAGGGTATCTAGATCAACTTGCGTGCATTTTGACTAAATTCATTGAACATCTGCTATCTCTTACTAGTACATGTATTGGGTAACTCCGTCGTGCAAGACTTAAACATGGATGTGCTCCTTAACATGGATTCAAAACTCATTATTTGCATTCCCTTTGTCCTCCTTTGTACTACTTTCCCTTTGTATTGATATTTCCATCTTCTTGTTAGGTTGCAATATCATCAAAGGATGTCACAATATTAGAATGAATTTGGTTTGAGATTTGTTATCAAGCGTAATACTAATTTGTTAAAGATTAATTGGATTGACGATATTCATCTTTTCTTATTTTAAAATTAAGCCATCAACCCAGGCTTTCACCTCCTATGATGGCATGTGTGTTGAGGGGTGGAGATGGTTTGAATCCCTAGCGTGTGTATTATTAAGCAAAAGAGTACAAAAGGGGACATAAACCTTACCTCCGGAATAGATACAAGAAAATAGGAATAAAGAGGAGCACCATTGTACAATTAAGTTAACAAAATTTATCCATAATACATATATATTTAGACATTCAATTCTAGCAAATGATGACGCCATATTCTTTTGTCATTTGCTGGAATTGAGACAAGAGGGGTTGCTCTGATGGTAAGCAACCTCCGCTTCCAACCAAGAGGTTGTGAGTTCGAGTCTCCCCAAGAGCAAGGTGGGAAGTTCTTGGAGGGAAGGATGTCGGGGGTCTATTTGGAAACAGCCTCTCTACCCCAAGGTAGGGGTAAGGTCTGCGTACACACTATCCTCCCCAGACCCCACTAAGTGGGGGTTGTTGTTGTTGAAATATTTGCCATATTGGGGTCACAATTTTGTATCTGTTAAACAAATTGTTGGAATTCCTAAAGTAAATGCACTNGAGCCTCAAAAATTATGTTTTTATGTGATCACAACATAAAATAGTAACACTGAATCTTTTATGGGAGCTTTAAGCTAAACGCACTTCACTCACCAAAAATTTAAAAACGCTAATCTATAATTAAGCAAATCTCCTATTGGGAAAACAGAAAAAACTGAAAAATTGAAATGCTATTGTATCAAATTTCTTAGATGAGAAATATTAGTACCTTTTTTTGTTGTTTTTCTCAGATGTGAATTTTGCGTCTTATTAGTAACTTCCACTGTTCCGAATTTTTGCTATGCCGAAAGAGAGAGACGGTGAAATTAATTGAGTGATGAAAAATAGGGCTTAGGATATATTCCGTTAATTAATTCGCTAAATAATTAATTAAATTTTGGTTCCCTTGCTTATAAGAGTTAGTTTTACAATTATGATCTTTCTTCATATAATTATATTTTGGTTCCCTTGCTTATAACTTATGATTTTCGCCAATCAAAAAAATGCAAAAGAAGTAAACAAATAATTAAGGTTCAAAAGCTGAAAGGAGCTGAAAGTTCAAAAGCACAAAGCTCAAAGTAAGGACTGAAAATCTTACCTCCACTTAAATAATGGTTTACGCGATCGAATAGGGATGTATTGATAGTAAAACATATCTTTAGCGGCGGACTCGGGATTTTTAAGTTGAAGTATTAATTCAGCCGATATCTTTGTATGTTATTACTAATTTTTTATATAAAAATATATTGTTTGAGTAACATAAAAGGGATAAATACTTGGAGGGAAGGACCTATACGCTTCCTAAAGAAGACAAGCTTTTCCAGTAAATATCATAGCAAAATCCAAGTCTTTTCAGCATTTTCTTTTTAAGTCTTAGGAGACGCCGTGTCCAAATGGGTAAATATTATTTCTTCATTTCATGGCTAATATTTTAAGTGATTTTGTTGCAACTTAAACCATGAGATTTTTTTGGCGTGGAGTGACAAGGATATTTCACTCAATTCCCCTCTTACTATTTCAAAAAGCGGAAGAAAATGAAATTCCACCACTGTGTATGTAAGACAATCTTAATTCTCTATGTTCAATGCTTTGGGCAAGCCAGAGCAAGACTTCTCTGTGGGAATACCCGGCTATCTCCTACTTTAAATAGAGAAAATCCCTGGAATTCTCTAATTCCGGGGATTATGTCTAAAAAATTTCGTATTGCGATCTCCACTAACTATCGTTCTTTTCTTTTCATAAGATCTATTCTTGGGCTAGAGCGTTAGTATAACTGTTCTCTTTTATATGGGATGGGGCTTTGGAGAACTCCTCGAATGGGATTCCCCTTATGTGATATCCTAACTAGTACCAATCTAACTAAGAGTCATCTGTTAGGCCAGCTTCCTGTGAGTAAGCCAAAGCCAGTGCTAAAGAAGAGGGCTAAGGAAAAACTAAAAATCCATTGGGATAGATGCAGCGCCAATTAATTTTCGCGGTGAGTACTAAGTACTTCGATTAATAGTTTGCAGGATTAATGGGAGTAGGCTTTTTCTTTAGAGTAAGACTCTTTGCTTGCTTCTTTCGGCTAGCTCAGCGGATGAGTGGCCGTATTCGACAATTCTTTCTCTTACGGCTAGTGTGCTATTTGAGATAGTTGAAAAGGGGTGTAGCGATAGAAAGTTTTGAATCAATAATTCCTCAAAAGTCATTGCTAGTATGTTTAATACAGTTACTGCTATACCGTAGGCCTCAATTAGCAGTCGTAAGGCCGACAAGTCTTCATCCGAAATAAGTAGATGCAGAATCTCGTCTGTTTGGAAGGTAACTTGAAGTAGCATTCGGACTGTGAACCATTATCACTCGTTAGGCCTCCCAATATAATTGATTTGAAGGAGTGAAAGCCACTTGACTGTAAGGAGAGTAGCTCCAGCACTTTACTTCCACCGTCATGTAGCCCTGCGGATAATTTGAATACGAGAACATCATTCCTTCCCTCATTCAATCTGATCTACTGGCTCTAAGACAGACTTAATGGGAGGAATCAGATCAATCTTAGGGCTTTGCTTTTAGCGCCTCAAAGACTCAATAGCAATTCCATCTCATCTTTCTGGATCAATATCCCCAATCCCCATCTTTTCAAAATATGTCTTTTACGAGTATGTCGAAACATCTCCATCCTTTTCGTTCGGTGTCATATCCTACGAATATGCACCGAAGAACCTTAATCCTCTTTGTTCCTTCGACATCTTCTACCCGAAAGCATTGAAATAGCATAGTAAGCGGACCGCCTACAGGGAAATCCTTATACCACTATCACGCGATACCGGGCAATGAAGCTGATGCTACTACCGATACAAAGAAAGACAAGGACTTTCTTTCTATCGATATGAAATCCTTTCTATTTCTCTGATGTGCATGTCGTCCAATCAGTCTACTCTGCTTTAGTATGCGCTAGGGAAAAAAGCGGAGCTCCTTCTTGTTACGCCCGATCCCCAAAGTACTGAAAAAGATAAGGATTTTTACCTCTATTGGAAATCCCTCTTAAGCATTAAGAAATTCTATTGATTCCGTTCAGCGAAAGGGTTGTCCTTCTATCATGAGTTTTATATCCCCCCTCCCCCAGGGATCATCCAGGTCAATCTGCATGAGTTTTATTGTTCATACGTGAGCCATAAAAAGCAAGTTGCCTGCCTAAAATAAGGCTTTGTGAATAAGCAGTTTCATAAGCTCCAGTTATAATTCGCTGACCGAGTAGCTACAACTTCGAGAGGGGAATTCGCATAAAAGTGGGCTTTTGTTTTTGCTTCCTCGAACGGAAGGAGAAATTTTTTTATTACCCTTTCTTGCTGGGGAATGGAGTTGGTTTATAACCAGACTCTGAAGTTTTCTACTAGGTAGAGTATTTAAAAAAAAAAAATCTAGAATAGAGGGCGTGATAGTCCAATTCTACATAGTTCTGTGATCTGTCGAACGAAGTGGTTCCAACGAACCGGACCGGGGCGAGAGAACGAATTCTTTTTTCAGGGCTGCCGGTGGGCTGGGCCCGAGCGCAATTTGGAAGGAAGCCTCTTTAGATGAGAAGGAGGATGCTACCAAGGCGAGCAAGAAGAAGGGGAATTCCACTATCTGAGTTAGGCCGATATCATTAGATAGGTAGGTTGATCTCCGCTTTTGGATTCCTATTAAGGGCAAGAGTGAGACTTGTCTATTCCTACTAAAGGAAAGAGAAGAAGATCACGGATCCTCTCTTTACAGTCAAGTGGCTTTCAGCTCCTCTCCCGGACCTATTGATCGAGGAGCTCGGGAATGGAGCAAAAGAAAGACGAGTTAGAGAACGGATGTAAGTCAATTCTGACCCTGCTAGGGAAAGGAAGCAAACTCTTGCTCGACGTAGGGTAGAGTAACTATTTTCAAAGCCTGGCCTTTCTGCCCCAAGGNATCAATTCTGACGCTGCTAGAGAAAGGAAGCAAACTCTTGCTCGACGTAGGGTAGAGTAACTATTTTAGGTAATGGGTTTCAATTTTGTGTTGAATTATATTGAGAAGCTGGAGATTTTTTTTTTTGTGGTTAAAATAAAACTTCACAGACCTATTTCTTGATATTTTGTTAATGAAAGTTGTGATCTTCATCATGATTTAACGAAAGGATATACAAGCTATTCAAATAATAAACTCAGTCTCAATTAGTTATAAATAAGATAAAAGGGATAGACACTTGGAGGGAATAACCTATATGCTTCCTAATGAAAACAAGCTTTTCGAGTAAATTTCAAAACCATTTGCCCCAAGTCTTTTCACTCTTCTTAAGAATTCTCCTTTTAAATCATAAAACACGACAATATGTAAATATTATTTCTGAAGAAAGGTATAATATTCTTCGACACAAAGTTGACCAAATCGATGCAAGTACAACTTATTTTATCCTGGAGTATCCACAAGTCCAAAATGCGAAAGTTATGTGTGTCCGGTAGGCAAAGCATCCCGTTCAAATCCATCATATTCAAGCCGTAAAGATTTTCAACAGATGGTGGACGAGATATATATAGTTAGAAATTTTTCATTTTCAAAGTCAAATGAGACAATTCTATCAAGTTCACCACGAGGAAAATGTCGAGCCAAAGAAATACATGCATTCATTAACTAACAAATCCTGGCAATGGCAGATGATACAATTTCTTTCCATCTATTAGACCAACCCTATTTAGGGTAAAAACCTCACATTTAAGCTGACGATCACAAGGAATATATATAATGACGGAGACGGACTAATAATAAATTCATACCACAACTTAGATGTGCACCTTAACATGGCTAATTAATGACTTCACTTGGCATATATCTTAGAAAATTAGGAGTTAATTTTATCCATGGTCATTGAACTTTTGTGTTGTTACCCAAAAGTCACTTGTTTTTTTGTTACGTAAAAATCATTCAACTTTGTGTTCATTACGCAAAAGTTACTTTTCTTTCTTTTGTTATAGAAAAATAATTTTACTTTGCTCGAGTTATCACAAAAATCACATTTTTCTTGAAAAGTCTATTATGCCCTTGATATTATATAAACCTTCATATTTATGTAATATCTTCTATATTATATATTATATAATATATTTTTACTATGTATTTTATTTATAAATAAAATAACTTAATATTATTTTATTTATTATTTTTATAATATATTCGTATATTTAATTTTTTCTTAACGTTAATTTTCAAAATATATTAGTAGTGTTATTAAATTTGTCAGTAACTTTAATATATATTAGTAGAGAAATAAATCGGCAAGTACATTTCTGTGAGAAAATTCGCAGGGTAAACAAAAAAAATGAGGAACAAATCATATGTTAATCTGAAGGAAAATCCCTAAGTACTACATGCGAATTTATCTGGGGATATTTTCTTGGGGATTTACCTGGGCAATTGGTTATTTTGAAAATTACACAACTAGAAATTCGGAAAAAAACGTCCAAAAAAATCGACCAAAGTTGATTGGTAATGGCCAATAACCATCCAAAACGTGACCAATAATGTGTTGTCAGAAGGGCATACCGACCAAAGTTGGTCGGTCAATTAAATTCAAAAAACAGAATTGCTGAAAAAAGTTATTTTTTAACGCTACTAATATATCTTGAAAATTAAAGTTATGAAAAAATTAAAAATACGAATATATTATAAAAATAATAAATAAAATACATAGTTAAAAATACATTATATAGTATCAAATATAGAAAGTATTACATAAATATGAAGGTTTATATAATTTCAAGGGCATAATAGGCTTTTCGAGTAAAAGTGTGACTTTTGTGATAACTAGAGCAAAGTAAAATGATTTTTGTGTAACAAAAGAAAGAAAAGTGACTTTTGTGTAACGAACACAAAGTTGAATGATTTTTACGTAACAAAAGAAAAGAAAAGTAACTTTCGGGTAACAAACACAAAAGCTCAATGACCATGGATAAAATTAACTCGAAAATTAGAGTTTATAATATCAGCAGATAACTTATTAAAGTAGTCACTATTTGCATAATTCCCTTTCTCCTACTCTGTACTAATAATACTTTTCATCTTCTTGTTTGGCTGCAAAAAAAAAAAAAAAAAAAAAGGAGATATT